CCACATAAGCAAAAAGAAAAAAGCTGGAAGTGGCGCTGTGGCTCAAGTGGTAGAGCACTAGCTCTGAGCTGAAGAGCTGAGGGACAGTGCCCAGACCCAGAGTTCAGGCCCCATGACCGGACCCAAAAAAAAAAAAAAAAAAAAGAGTTAGTTATCCCATTGTGGGTCTGACTAAATGTTACAGAGGTTAAATCTGTAATGATAAACTCAATAGTTGTTAAATAATCCAATTAATTTTTAGCTTAATATAGCACTTTAAAATACCAATTAATATAGAAACCATTGTCAGCTTTGTATCCAAGACAACTTACATGCTTGAGAAACTGATATTAGACAGTCAAAAATAGCATTCAAGTTAAAAAGTGTTTATTTGAAAAACCTTGGCATAAAAAAACATTTAAGTGAACTTTGGTTTAGTTACTACCTAATTTTCCTTAAAACTTCACAAATAGAATAATACACAAACAATTATGTTATGGATGGACATAAAGAATCAGATGTAGTTTTACATCAGTGTATTAATGTTTACCTTTTTTAAACACAGCCAACTCCATTACATACCAACTTTTCTAACTTTACTCCATCTACAGTCAGGCTGCTTAGGCAGAATAGATCTCCAGGTATTTCTCCCAGTCCAAACTGTCCTTTTCTCTTGTCAAGGAATTGGGCTCACATTCTAAGTATAATTGACTATCAAGGTTAAAAAGAAGGGATACAGTTTTTTCTATCACAGCTGGCTGGGAGCTGGGCTGAGTCTCATTCCTTTTACTGCCTCTATTGATAAAGATTTTTGCTTCTAACAAACAGCACACTTGACAATTAACTCTTTTAACACAAGGTTTACATTCTTCACATGGCTGCTGGTCATAAGCAGCAAAGATAATACTTACAGTTGTACTCGAAAAGCAAATAATGCCGGGTGCCGATGGCTCACGACTGTAATCCAAGCTACTGAGGAGGCTGAGGATCACAGTTCAAAGCCAGCCCGGGACAGGAAAGTCCGTGAGACTCTTACCTCCAATAAACCACTAGAAAACCAGAAGTGGTGCTGTGGCTCAAGCAGTAGAGCACTTGCCTTGAGCTGAAGAGGGCAGGACAGCACCAAGCCCAGAGTTCAAGCCCTATGACCGGCCAAAAAAAAAAAAATCAAATGATTTCATGATTAGTACCAAAAATAGCAATATTCAAAGCAGAAACATGTTAGTTTTATAGAAAAGACCTTATTTTAAGTGATGATGACAGATTTTATGCTTTAAACTGAGGTCATTGTGAACATGTTCAACCAAGTCCCCACCAAACATTCATGAACAAAAGTTTTAAGGAGCATTTGAGGTTTAAAAAATGAAAATCGTCTTCAGATTTTTGGCATTTCAGTGGAATTGTATGATAGAACCATTGCCCATTATATGATAGAACCATATGGTCAGTGTTGGGGAAAAAAGTTCCACCAAATAAAATACATGACAAAACACAAAACTTTCGCTAATAGCAAACAGAATTTCGCAGAATCTCCATGTTTAAACCACAGTTGATTCACAAGAACAGAAAACAAGCACCATCGTAGGCCTTGATCTCAGGCCTGGGTTCTTCTTTTACTACAGGTGGGGCACTCTACACTTGAGCCACAGGACCACTTTTTGCCTTGGCTGGATTCTAACAGCAACCCTCAGATCTCAGCCTTCTGAGGAATTAGCATTACAGGTGAGCCACGGGTGTCCAACTTACAGTAAGTTTTTTTTGTGGCAGAAATAAACAGTCCAAATTTGATTGTTTTTTCCCCCTAGTCTTCTTTAGGATCCTGAGAACTTCTTTATTTAGTCTAAACATTGATTGTTTGAATACTATGAACTCAGTAAGAGGGCAGGATTGGAATTTTTTTTTCAGTTTGGAGATGCTGGATTTTTGTTGCTGTTTTTTTGTTTTGCAATTTTTAACTAGCGTTGCCTTCTTGGTAGGAGAACTCAAAAACTGGTGTGTATTCTTCCTGTGTTCCATCAGATGTCCCAAGGTAAATGGATTCCATTCCCAACAGAGTTCTTACTATTTGATTTTTTGTGTGTGTATGCCCATCCTGGTCTTGAATTCAGGGCCTAGGTACTGTTCTTGAGCTTTTTTGCTCTACCACTAGTTAGTGTTCTACCACTTGAGTCAGAGTGCTACTTTTGGCATTTTAGTGATTAATTGGAGATAAGAGTCTTGGATTTGGGGCTGGGAAGGTGGCTCAGTGGTAGAGCTCTTGCCTTGCATGCTCGAGGCCCTGGGTTCGATTCCTCAGCACCACATAAGCAAAAAGAAAAAATCCGGAAGTGGTGCTGTGGCTCAAGTGGTAGAGCACTAGCCTTGAGCTGAAGAGCTGAGGGACAGCGCCCTGGCCCAGAGTTCAGGCCCCACGACCAGACCCAAAAAAAAAAAAAAAGAGTCTTGGATTTTCCTACCTGACTGGCTTTGAGCCACAATCCTCAGATCTCAGCCTCCTGAGAAGGTGGAATTACTGGTGTGGGCTACCAGTGCCCAATTTATATTCTGTATTCTTGATAATGGCCATTCTGATTGTTGTTTTGTTTTACATTTCTTTGTTGAGTAAAGACGTTGAATAGTTTTTCATACAACTAACAGCCATTTGCAATATTTTATTTTTTTATTTTGAGTGTGTAGATCATTTGTTCAATATTGATTGGATTTTTTCTCTTACAGAGTTAAAACTGTTGGTAGATGGATAGATAATGCACCCATGTTTGGATATAAAACATACCTGTCTGTTGGTCTGTCTGTCTATCTATTTATCTGCAAAAGCAGACATATTTGCTGCCATAGTCTACTCCACTTTCTCATGCTTTCTCTCTCTGAAGAGGTGATTTGCTTCATCAGCAGTGGTAAGTGCAGCCTCTGTTTTCTTTCACAGATTTTCTTATTTGATCTATCCTGCATTATGGGGCCAACTTCTATTCCTCCACACCTTTCTACCACCCGTGAGTTTTGCACAACCTCTTGAAGCCATGGCTACCCTTTTCCAGACTACCCATCTGCATAGCTCCAGTTCACCTTGCTTGGGTTCCCACATCCAGGCCAGGCCCCCCACTCCATGTGGAGGAGTTCCTGGTTCTACTTGATGTCTGACTTGAAGCCATCATGACACCCTTCTTCATTACAAGGTGTACCCACTTCCTTGGTGTGCGCTAGAAGCTTTGAGACTAAATTATGAGGAAAGAAGGAAAACAGAAAGAGAAAGCACAAAAACAAGAGAAGGGAAGAGAAAAAAGGATATGATTTGAAATAAGTGAGCAATTTTAACATTGCTGTCGAATCAGTTAACCAAGCAGCTATTTTTATTCAGTGTTCATTGTATTAACACAGTGGGGAGGTGAAAATGGATCACAAAAGAATACTGGGGGGAGATGCAATAGAAACATTACACCAAAACCAATACAACACATCTCAGTAGAGTGGTACAAAAACATGAACTTAGAAATGGTAGCATCAGACGAGCAATACACCTTCAATGAGGAAGAACATGGCAGATTAACCCTGTGGATCATGAATAATCTAATTGGAGACTTGAAACAGACCCCAAGCAATCACTGGTTCTGATGATAAAAACGAAAGAACCTCAATCAGCCCCTCATGTGGGTGGAGGCTTCATAATCATACTCTTTGCTGAAGGAAGTTATTAACTTTCTCAGCACAATACACATAGTAGAATGATGCAAATAAAACATTGGAGATAGACCTTTGCCAACAGAGTTATCACAAGAGCTCTCCTCTTCCTCATTGTTGATAAGATTAGTGATAAATGCCTATGGTCTCATCACAGCTCTGAGAACGGAATGATGATAGGAGAGAACAATACTCCTGTGAGAACCAGAAGTCACTTCCTTTATAGCACCCAGTAGATAAAAGCCCACACAGCCATTGAACAAGCTTGAAAATGTCCAGAATTGCTAATCACAAATTTACTGAGAAGGCCAGACCTGGCTTTATTTCTGAGTGGTTCTTTTTTCCCCACACACAATCAATCCATTTTCTAGTGCTCCTGGACACAATGTCCCTGGAAAACACAGCAGAAAAACCTTTGCAGAGAATCATGCTCCATTTATGGTCCTATCTCTTGACACAATCTTTAGGACAATGGGTTTTTCTGGTTGAAGAAGTGGTTTCTTACTTATTTTCAGAGGAATCTGCAACAGTGAAAGAAACACAAGAAGAAAGTGATGAACCAAGTACCTCCAACCACAGCAGCAAAGAAAAAGATACATTAAAGGTAATTATAATTGACAACAAGTTTTGACTTTGCCTGTCTTGAATTATTTCTACTCATTGGTTAAACTCTGTCAAGACTGGGGTAGGAAAAGTATTCTTCCATCTGTTCACTGGAAACAAATATAGATATCTATGTTATATTACTTTATTGATATGATTTTTTAAAAGAATGAGTTTTAAAAAGTTTAACCAGCCAGGTATTGGTAGTGCATGCCTGTAAACCATAGCTACTCAAGAGGCTGAGATCAAGGATCACAGTTCCAAGCCAGCCCAGGCAGGAAAGTTCATGAGGCTCTTCTCTTCAGTTAACAAGGCCAAAGCTGGATGTAGATCTGTGGCTCAAGTGGTAGAGCACAAGCCTTGTGGGAAAAAGCTCAGGGATAGCACCTAGGCCCTCAGTTCAAGTCCCAGGACCGGCACACTAAAACACAAAATTTAAATCAGATACTTAGCCATTAAGGCAAGATATTTTTAAAAACTCATAAAAAGTTTCATTTTGGATTTGTTGGATCTGTCAAGATAATCCTGAGAAAGTATTATACATTTCAATTACAAAAACAGTCTTCAAATTCTAAATAATCCAGTCACTTCTTCCATTTGAACCAATATTTTTGTGTGTGGGACTGAGGGGTCCTGGACTTGAACTGAGGGCCTGGGCACTGTCCCTGAGCTTTTTGCTCAAGGCTAGAACTCTACCACTTGAGCTTCACCTCTACTTCAAGCTTTTCAGTAGTTAATTAGACATAAGAGTCAAAAGTCTCATGGTCTTTCCTTCCTGTGCTGGCTTCCAACCTTGATCTTCAGATCTCCTGAGTAACTGGGATTACAGGTGTGAGCAATTGGTGCCTGGCTTCCTTTCTTCCTCCCTCCCTCATTCCCTTTCTTTTTACTTTTCTAACATCTTCTTTTGGCTGCCCAGCATAGTTGGAAATAGGGAATTCTGAGTGCTGCACTAAATACTCCATATTGTCAGTGGGTCTTTCAGTGGTGGTGGGGCGGTCTGCCTATCCCAGAACAGGGAAGACATGCACACTGTTATGAAGAAGAACACTCTCCAGGTGGAAAACAGATTCTCTGGGGACCTGCAGAGCATCTGCCCCATCTCAAGTATACTGGTGGCCACTTTTTCTTACAGCTAAGTTGCTTGGTTTGCACACTTAAGAGGAAAGTGACACAGCTGCCCCAAAGCCATACGTGAAGTAGAAACTATCTATCTATCTATCTATCTATCTATCTGTCTGTCTGTCTGTCTGTCTGTCTGTCTGTCTGTCTGTCTGTCTGTCTGTCTGTCTGTCTATCTATCTCTCTATCTATCTATCTAGGTCTGATTTCCCATGCAGGAATCCCACTATAAAGCAAGATCAGAATTTTAAATATATGACCCTTGGAAATAAGCATGTCCTTTGGAAGCCTTTGGAAGCTCTGGCAGAGGAGAACCCTTTCAAATATGGCAATCATAGTATCATTATAGGTCACAATCATGCATCCTGACTCCAGATGACAAGAAGTTCAAATGCACTCAGGTCAAGACCCTCAGCAGAGCCATAACATCCTAATCTGCACTGAGTGGACATCAGCTTCCTTCTTCGATTTTATCAAACAAAAGATCTGTTCCCAAATTGAGAAATCCAAGAAATGGACTCATTGCAACACTAATAAAGATTCTTTGGTTTAAATATTAAAAGATGAACAAGTATATACTTGCCTGACAATAGGCCTCTTAATTTAAAAAAAGCAATAAAGCAACCCCCCCACAAATATCCCACAAAGCCAGTTGCCGTAGCTCATCCCCATAATCCTAGCTAATAATGAGGCTGAGATGACACTTTATAAAGTTAGTAAGGATAGTAAAAGTCCCTAAGATTCTCTTCTCCAATTAACCAGCAAAAAGCTAAAAAGTGGAGGTGTAGCTCAAGTGGTACAGCACCAGCCTTGAGCAAGCAGCTCAGGGGAGAGTGTGAGGGCCTGAGTTCAAGCCCCCATATTCGGCCCTCAACAACTACCATAAAATATTGTTCATTTAGGAAATATACTGACCTGGGTCTCCTTGCAAGGTTGGAAGGAGAAATTCTGCATGAGTCTGACAAGAGCAAGTTTGATGTTCATGAGAGCGAACCTCATGCCAATGCAGTTTCTGGGCCCAGCTCCAAAGGGCATGTAGATGTAAGGATTGATGCTTTCCTTGTTCTTCTTGCTGAACCTGAAACAACGAAAGTGGGGAAAACATGAACACTTCAAGAACCCAGATATTTGTGGCTGAACTTCAGACTGCTCTAAACAGTAGAAGGTAGGATTGTTGAATGAAATCCTGCTAGAATTTGGTTTGATTTTTTGTCAGTTGTGGAGCTTGAACTCAGGACCTGGTTTCTGTCCCAGAACTCTTCAGCTCAAGGCTATCTCACCACTTTGAGCCACAGTGACAATTCTTGTTTTCTGATGGCTCATTGAAGATAACAATCTCACAGACTTTCCTGCTTGGGATAGCTTTGAACCATGATCTTCAGATCTCAGTCTCCTGAGTAGCTAGGATTACAGGAGTGAACCACCAGCCCCTGGTGTGTGCCTAGCCAGGTACCAGTGGCTCACACCTGTAATCCTAGCTACTCAGGAGGCTGAGATCTGAGGATCATGGTTCAAAGCCAGCCTGGGCAGGGAAGTCAATGAGACTACTCTCCAATTAACCACCAGAAAACCAGAAGTGGTGCATGGCTCAAGTGGTAGAGCACTCACCTTGACAGGGACAGTGCCAGGTCCAGAGTTCAAGCCCCATGACCAACAGAAAAAAAAAGTGTGCTCCTAAATGAAAGGTTAGAGTACTTGAGGCAGTGACCATTTGTTGCTTGTTTCAGAGCAGAGCAACACGTGGTGCTAAGCCACCTGGTTGTGTGCCTTAATAAGACCTGCAAATCTGTAGCTCAGGGCTCTCCTCCTGGGCTCCGCTGTGTCAGAGTGTAGGACGAGGCCCGAGCTGCAGCCTGTTTAAATAAAACAGCAGTAGAGTCAGACTCTCAGTGGTCTTCTTGGTGGGGGTCCTGCGACCTTGGTATAACACTAAGAACATCACTATACCACATCACTAACAAATTATTATTTCTAGACTTGAGACTTAGTATCCCCTTTTCTGGTCCATTTTTATAAGTTTTTATCCAAATTTGTTATGCTTGTGATATTTTAAAAAATTGCTGAAGATAAAGACATTAGTGTGAATCACTGAACAGGAACACTCTGCCTTCTATAGCATGAGACCATGCGAAGTGCTAGAAGCCACCATGTTGGGGAAGGTGCCTTTCCCCCCAGCCAGCTTACCTCTCAGGGCGGAATTCCTCAGGCTCTGGCCAGTACTTGGCGTCCCTTTGAAGAGCGTAGATTGGTACCATCACCAGGGTGTTTTTGGGAATAACCACTCCATTGATTTCCACATCTGTCTTACCGACCCTCTCAACTCGGCCAGCAATGGGGTACAGCCTGAGAACCTCGTTCACCACCATGTCCACATACTCCATTTCCATCACAGCATCATAGGTGGCAGGTGCCTAACAAGGAAAGAACACATTTTCCTCATTTCAAGTTTGAGATACACTCTGAACTCAATGAAATTCTGTCAGTGCTGTTAGGAGCTTTGAAGAATAACTCCAGTTGGTAATGAACCTTAACTTTCACAAGGTGTTTAACTAATGACCAAGTCGTAGGATCTGCTCGATGGTACATGGAAAGACACAAATAGGAGCGATGGTTATGGGAGGACATCCCCAGACCTACGCCCATTGTTGTTGTCCTCTACTGCTTTTCTTTCTCCGGTGAGGGAATGTGACCAAAAGCTGAAGACAACGACCCTCCAGTCAAATACACCAAAGTCAGTGTTACAGCTTACCAGAGAGAGAACAGAGGTTATGGTGTTTAGAAAAGAGAATTCCTGTTCTGTTTATTTAAAATAGCCACATGGCCACATTTGTGATTATACAATACACATGAATACATTATATCACATATATTTATTTTTTATGCAAGCATATTTCATATACAAGCCTTTAACTAATCGAGGGAGGAACTAGTCCTTTACATGACTTGAAAATAATGATACGGTTTAAAAAAAATAAGACTAGGGCTGGGAAGGTGGCTCAGTGGTAGAGCGCTTGCCTTGCATGCCTAAGGCCCTGGGTTCGATTCCTCAGTACCACATAAGCAAAAAGAAAAAAAAAGCCAGAAGTGGAGCTGTGGCTCAAGTGGTAGAGCGCTAGCCTTAAGCTGAAGCGCTGAGGGACAGCGCCCAGGCCCAGAGTTCGGGCCCCACGACCGGACCCAATAAATAAATAAACAAACAAACAAGACTCTATCAGGACATAGACTTTCAGTTCTAGAAAAAGTTCTAAAGAGGATACAAATGCACAGACTCAGCCCCATTCTCATTGCTGGACCAGTCCATTGTTGTTCCTTCAGAGCTTGACTGCGGGCTCAGAAGAGGAAGCCCTGTACCCTACTGACTGCCAGTCCAGCTGCCCACAGAATATCAGTGTGGTGAGAGATGTGAGCACAGAGTGACAATGTGTGGCTGCCACTTTGTGCTCTAATGAAGATCAGCTTAGATGCCAGATGCCCGGGATCATAGCTTAGCTTCCTCAACTCTAACTCTGACCCAGGAGACTGAGTCTTGAGTCACCCTGTGCAGCCTAGCCAAGTCCATCCTGGTATGAGCACAGCATGTCTAGCACCTATCAGCACCTAAATACTTAGTTCATATGTGCTTATACTTCTCTGCCATTGAGAATTTTGCCTTTTTTTTCCTGCCACTCCTGGTGCTTAAAGTCTGGGCCTAGGCCTGGGTGCTGGGTTTGAGCTTCTTTTGCCCAAGCCTAGTGTTCTACCACTTGACCCACAGCTTCCAGTGTTTTGTGGTTAATTGGAGATAAGAGTCTCATCAACTTTCTTGGCCTGTCTGAACTTGAACCGTGATCTTCACATCTCAGCTTCGTAAGTAGCTAGGATTACAGGCATGAGCCAACATGGATTCAGTTGGAAAAATGAGCTTTTTACAATGATCTTATATTTCTTTGAGGAACACTTAATACCTTTATTTCCTCCACCCCCTTTCAATTCTCTCTTCAAATTCTTCCAAAATAGAAGCCTTCCATGCTTACATTGTACAGAATTCCTCACTAGAAGTGATAAGGAGACATTCTTGTAATGCCTCATCAGTTCCCGCCCTCCCCAGGTGCCTTGCCCTCACCTTATTGGGTAAAGTCCTGTCAACTTCCTCTTGCAGCTTCTTTTGGACATCAGGGTGAAGGGCCAATAGATACAGAGTGAGACTGGTGGTATCATAGCCAGCGAAAATAAAGATAATTGATTGGGCTGCTAGCTCCAGGTCAGACAGACCTAAAGGAAATAAACATACATTTTAGGTCAATGAAGTCAGTACACAATGCCACAATCATGGTTTATAAGACCACTAATACCTAAGGATAAGACATAGAGAAGCAAGGTAATGTCACCTAGTCACCACATGTGACAAGAGCTAAAGAGACTAACTAAGTTGAATCCAGTTTCCCAAAGGTCTACAATACCATTGCCCATCTTGTCTGTGTTCTCCATTTTTGCCACTTAGAGCTGAGTCAGTTAAGAGACCATACTGTATCTAACAGGCGCTGCCAGAGCAATGTGACCCCATCTGTCTGATTAGGGGACATTGCGTGCACATATGGAAACAGCAAGACAAAACCCCTTTGTACAAGTAGTATGTTCTAATAACAATAGAAAGAACATAGAGGGATCCTTTCCATTTGAAGCACATTTAAGGATCTAAGGGATCTATAAGGATCTTAGAGTGCCGAAATCAATATGCTGCCAGGTTCTGGTGACTCATTCCTGTAATCCTTGCTACTCAGGAGGCTGAGAGCTGAGGATTGAAGTTTAAAGCCAGCCTAGGCAGAAAAGTCCACAGACTCTCATCTCTAATTAACCACCCAAAAGCCATTATTGGAGCTGTGGTACAAGTGGTTGAGCACTAGCCTTGAGCAAAAAATCTAAAGGATAGTTTCCAGGCCCTGAGTTCAAGCCCCAGG